TGTGTGTGTGTGTGTGTGTGTGTGTGTGTGTGTGTGTGTGTGTGTGTGTGTGTGTGTGTGTGTGTGTGTGTGTGTGTGTGTGTGTGTGTGTGTGTGTGTGTGTGTGTGTGTGTGTGTGTGTGTGTGTGTGTGTGTGTGTGTGTGTGTGTGTGTGTGTGTGTGTGTGTGTGTGTGTGTGTGTGTGTGTGTGTGTGTGTGTGTGTGTGTGTGTGTGTGTGTGTGTGTGTGTGTGTGTGTGTGTGTGTGTGTGTGTGTGTGTGTGTGTGTGTGTGTGTGTGTGTGTGTGTGTGTGTGTGTGTGTGTGTGTGTGTGTGTGTGTGTGTGTGTGTGTGTGTGTGTGTGTGTGTGTGTGTGTGTGTGTGTGTGTGTGTGTGTGTGTGTGTGTGTGTGTGTGTGTGTGTGTGTGTGTGTGTGTGTGTGTGTGTGTGTGTGTGTGTGTGTGTGTGTGTGTGTGTGTGTGTGTGTGTGTGTGTGTGTGTGTGTGTGTGTGTGTGTGTGTGTGTGTGTGTGTGTGTGTGTGTGTGTGTGTGTGTGTGTGTGTGTGTGTGTGTGTGTGTGTGTGTGTGTGTGTGTGTGTGTGTGTGTGTGTGTGTGTGTGTGTGTGTGTGTGTGTGTGTGTGTGTGTGTGTGTGTGTGTGTGTGTGTGTGTGTGTGTGTGTGTGTGTGTGTGTGTGTGTGTGTGTGTGTGTGTGTGTGTGTGTGTGTGTGTGTGTGTGTGTGTGTGTGTGTGTGTGTGTGTGTGTGTGTGTGTGTGTGTGTGTGTGTGTGTGTGTGTGTGTGTGTGTGTGTGTGTGTGTGTGTGTGTGTGTGTGTGTGTGTGTGTGTGTGTGTGTGTGTGTGTGTGTGTGTGTGTGTGTGTGTGTGTGTGTGTGTGTGTGTGTGTGTGTGTGTGTGTGTGTGTGTGTGTGTGTGTGTGTGTGTGTGTGTGTGTGTGTGTGTGTGTGTGTGTGTGTGTGTGTGTGTGTGTGTGTGTGTGTGTGTGTGTGTGTGTGTGTGTGTGTGTGTGTGTGTGTGTGTGTGTGTGTGTGTGTGTGTGTGTGTGTGTGTGTGTGTGTGTGTGTGTGTGTGTGTGTGTGTGTGTGTGTGTGTGTGTGTGTGTGTGTGTGTGTGTGTGTGTGTGTGTGTGTGTGTGTGTGTGTGTGTGTGTGTGTGTGTGTGTGTGTGTGTGTGTGTGTGTGTGTGTGTGTGTGTGTGTGTGTGTGTGTGTGTGTGTGTGTGTGTGTGTGTGTGTGTGTGTGTGTGTGTGTGTGTGTGTGTGTGTGTGTGTGTGTGTGTGTGTGTGTGTGTGTGTGTGTGTGTGTGTGTGTGTGTGTGTGTGTGTGTGTGTGTGTGTGTGTGTGTGTGTGTGTGTGTGTGTGTGTGTGTGTGTGTGTGTGTGTGTGTGTGTGTGTGTGTGTGTGTGTGTGTGTGTGTGTGTGTGTGTGTGTGTGTGTGTGTGTGTGTGTGTGTGTGTGTGTGTGTGTGTGTGTGTGTGTGTGTGTGTGTGTGTGTGTGTGTGTGTGTGTGTGTGTGTGTGTGTGTGTGTGTGTGTGTGTGTGTGTGTGTGTGTGTGTGTGTGTGTGTGTGTGTGTGTGTGTGTGTGTGTGTGTGTGTGTGTGTGTGTGTGTGTGTGTGTGTGTGTGTGTGTGTGTGTGTGTGTGTGTGTGTGTGTGTGTGTGTGTGTGTGTGTGTGTGTGTGTGTGTGTGTGTGTGTGTGTGTGTGTGTGTGTGTGTGTGTGTGTGTGTGTGTGTGTGTGTGTGTGTGTGTGTGTGTGTGTGTGTGTGTGTGTGTGTGTGTGTGTGTGTGTGTGTGTGTGTGTGTGTGTGTGTGTGTGTGTGTGTGTGTGTGTGTGTGTGTGTGTGTGTGTGTGTGTGTGTGTGTGTGTGTGTGTGTGTGTGTGTGTGTGTGTGTGTGTGTGTGTGTGTGTGTGTGTGTGTGTGTGTGTGTGTGTGTGTGTGTGTGTGTGTGTGTGTGTGTGTGTGTGTGTGTGTGTGTGTGTGTGTGTGTGTGTGTGTGTGTGTGTGTGTGTGTGTGTGTGTGTGTGTGTGTGTGTGTGTGTGTGTGTGTGTGTGTGTGTGTGTGTGTGTGTGTGTGTGTGTGTGTGTGTGTGTGTGTGTGTGTGTGTGTGTGTGTGTGTGTGTGTGTGTGTGTGTGTGTGTGTGTGTGTGTGTGTGTGTGTGTGTGTGTGTGTGTGTGTGTGTGTGTGTGTGTGTGTGTGTGTGTGTGTGTGTGTGTGTGTGTGTGTGTGTGTGTGTGTGTGTGTGTGTGTGTGTGTGTGTGTGTGTGTGTGTGTGTGTGTGTGTGTGTGTGTGTGTGTGTGTGTGTGTGTGTGTGTGTGTGTGTGTGTGTGTGTGTGTGTGTGTGTGTGTGTGTGTGTGTGTGTGTGTGTGTGTGTGTGTGTGTGTGTGTGTGTGTGTGTGTGTGTGTGTGTGTGTGTGTGTGTGTGTGTGTGTGTGTGTGTGTGTGTGTGTGTGTGTGTGTGTGTGTGTGTGTGTGTGTGTGTGTGTGTGTGTGTGTGTGTGTGTGTGTGTGTGTGTGTGTGTGTGTGTGTGTGTGTGTGTGTGTGTGTGTGTGTGTGTGTGTGTGTGTGTGTGTGTGTGTGTGTGTGTGTGTGTGTGTGTGTGTGTGTGTGTGTGTGTGTGTGTGTGTGTGTGTGTGTGTGTGTGTGTGTGTGTGTGTGTGTGTGTGTGTGTGTGTGTGTGTGTGTGTGTGTGTGTGTGTGTGTGTGTGTGTGTGTGTGTGTGTGTGTGTGTGTGTGTGTGTGTGTGTGTGTGTGTGTGTGTGTGTGTGTGTGTGTGTGTGTGTGTGTGTGTGTGTGTGTGTGTGTGTGTGTGTGTGTGTGTGTGTGTGTGTGTGTGTGTGTGTGTGTGTGTGTGTGTGTGTGTGTGTGTGTGTGTGTGTGTGTGTGTGTGTGTGTGTGTGTGTGTGTGTGTGTGTGTGTGTGTGTGTGTGTGTGTGTGTGTGTGTGTGTGTGTGTGTGTGTGTGTGTGTGTGTGTGTGTGTGTGTGTGTGTGTGTGTGTGTGTGTGTGTGTGTGTGTGTGTGTGTGTGTGTGTGTGTGTGTGTGTGTGTGTGTGTGTGTGTGTGTGTGTGTGTGTGTGTGTGTGTGTGTGTGTGTGTGTGTGTGTGTGTGTGTGTGTGTGTGTGTGTGTGTGTGTGTGTGTGTGTGTGTGTGTGTGTGTGTGTGTGTGTGTGTGTGTGTGTGTGTGTGTGTGTGTGTGTGTGTGTGTGTGTGTGTGTGTGTGTGTGTGTGTGTGTGTGTGTGTGTGTGTGTGTGTGTGTGTGTGTGTGTGTGTGTGTGTGTGTGTGTGTGTGTGTGTGTGTGTGTGTGTGTGTGTGTGTGTGTGTGTGTGTGTGTGTGTGTGTGTGTGTGTGTGTGTGTGTGTGTGTGTGTGTGTGTGTGTGTGTGTGTGTGTGTGTGTGTGTGTGTGTGTGTGTGTGTGTGTGTGTGTGTGTGTGTGTGTGTGTGTGTGTGTGTGTGTGTGTGTGTGTGTGTGTGTGTGTGTGTGTGTGTGTGTGTGTGTGTGTGTGTGTGTGTGTNATCTTTTTTTTGTCTTAAATGGATTCCTAATTTTAAAAAACACAATAACATGGCTTAGTAAAAATGACATAAAATCAATAAGATAAATGAACTAAAAACTAGAAACCTTAGCTACATCATTGTTTTCAACCTCAAATCATTGTTTTCAACCTCAAACTAAAACCCTAACCACATCATACCATGGTGATGCTATTATCGAACCATCTCGTATTGGTTGAGAAATATAAAAAATATGGAAGAGCAATGTCTAGAGAAGGAGATAAATTATTGGAGAAGGTTGACGAATCTTGTAATGAGAACCCCAATTCACCTTGTCTATTGAAAAAAAATCCAAGTTACTAATCTTTTTATTTTGCCTAGTCATTTTTAAAATTGTCGTTTTTATATTTAATCACTGTTATTGTTTCAAATTTTCAAAATATAATTGATAAAAAAAAAACTGATGAATCCATTTAAAATTTAAAAAAAAAGACCTCCGAATTATTAAATCTAATTTATAAGTATAATCACTACTACAAAATTAATAGATAGCACTTTTTTAAATAAGCGCTATTTATGAGTATGTGGAACAATAGATAACGCTTATTTAAAAAAGCGCCATCTATTGTCATAGGTATAGATAACGCTTTTTTAAATAAGCGCTGTCTATAAGTAATTAATTTTATTTTTTTTAATTTATAATTTGAAATAAATTAATAAATAACGCTTTTTTAAAAAAAGACTATCTATTTAGACACCACTATCTATATTTTATTTATATTATTATTTTTAATTAAAATTTTAAAATAAACCAAAAAGAACTCTTATTTAAAAAAGGTGTATCTATTTATTATAAAAAAAATTTAAAAACTTGTCGTCCTATTTCGTTTCTTCTCTTCTCTTCTTTCCTTGTTTTTCATTCGTAAACTCTGAAAACGTGGTTGTTTCCTTCGAGCACCTTTGCATCCCGCGTTTTTGTTCGTCACTGGTTTTAAAAGGTTAGTTCAATTCTCCTCTTTTTCTCCCTTCATTCTTTGTTTACTTTTTCTTTTTGCCCAAAACCGAAAAAAACCTAGGGTTGGCCAAATGGGGGAAATAGCGGCGTGAGCACGAGAGAAAGGAGGAGAGAGCCTTCAATGCCAAATCCATAACAGGCGTGACTCGTTGAGATGAACAACGGTGATTGGGGGCCAAAATGGGAAGGAGCGAGAGACGAAGGCGAGACTGTGAGAAGTAGTAGATAGTCGTTTTTGGAGAGGTTTGGGCGTCAGACCTCCGAGGGAGGATCGAAAGAGAGAACCAAACCAAGTATGGGGAGCAAATCTTTGTTGTTTAACTCGGTTGATGCCATCTATTAATAGATAGCGCTTAAAAAGCGCTATCTATGATAAAAAACACTTTTTTGTAGTAGTGAATAACATATTTTTATGAATTGAAGAAAATAAAAATTTAAATGAAGGGTTAAATTGCACTTCACTAAAACACGAGCGGCCGCCTCCCGGCACAGAACTATTATCTGATGTTTAAATCATGGGAACTGAAACATGCTTCCTTACTCATTTTCAGTTTTTACTACCTACCCCTCCGTCGACCCCTGCGTTACGTTACAACGAAAGGGTTTAGGGGTTTTGTGAAGCAATGGACGAAGAAAACCAACGAAGTGTGCCGGTTCTGCCATGGATGCGCCACCCCGTCGACGTCACTCGCTGTGAACAACTCTCCCTTTGCAGAGTTCCTTTTCTGGACCGCAGGTACTTCCTCTTACAATCCATTGATTTTGATTCCACTCTGCATTACTCACGCTATCTATCAATCTTTCGAATTAATTCCACTCACAATTTTCAATTTCACCAGATTAAAGTCGGCGCTAAAAAACATGGAAATCTCGAAGTTGTTCCCGGTTCAAGTTGCGCTATGGCAAGAAACTATTGGACCAGGTAACTTTGAGCGAGACCTTTGTATAAACTCGCCCACAGGAAGTGGCAAAACCTTGGCTTATGCTCTTCCCATCGTGCAAAAGTTGTTGCCTACTTCCACTGTCAAGTGCCTTCGTGCTTTGGTTGTGGTTCCCACCCGCGACCTTGCCTTGCAGGTTAAACAGGTTTTCGATGCTATTGCATTGCCATTAGGCCTAAGTGTGGGGTTGGCTGTTGGTCAATCTTCGGTTGCTGATGAGATATCTAGTCTCGTTTACCTACCGGGGGAAGAGGAGGGTGTAGATCCTGGGTTTTTGTCTCCGTTCTGGTTTCAAAGTAAGGTGGACATATTGGTGGCAACCCCCGGAAGGCTTGTGGACCATGTCAACTTGTCTAAGGGTTTCACATTGAAGCATCTTCATTATCTTGTGAGTAGTGAAATTAGTTACATGACACTCTTTAATGGAATGATCATTGTATCGGATGTTTGGTATAAGAAAGAATGTGGTAACATTATTGACTTTCACGAGTACTGCTTGGCGTGATTTTTAATTTAGAGGAAAAATGAATATCTTCTTGTGTGGAAATTCAACTCAATGGAAACCAATTTCGGCCCTTAACCTTTGTGCTTTTCTTCTTTTGTGTGTATGTTGACAAGTTAAATGGTGTCAGGTGGTTGATGAAGCTGATCGGTTGCTCCGGGAGGACTACCAGTCCTGGTTGCCCACCGTACTTAAATCGACCCAATCTAGCAACAATGATTATGGTAATGATGATGTTTTCCAATTGGGGTTCCCTTATTCTCCCTGGAGTAGAAGAACATGGTGGGTTTAAAATTCATTTGAATCTCCCTTGAAATGTTCGTATTAATGAAAAATGGAAAACATTGTGTGTTGCCCAGTGGATATAGTTGGTTAAGTGGGCAACTGCTGCTCTTTCATTGTCTATGTTCTGATAGTTCTAGTAACTATGTTAATTTTGAATAAACTTAAAGAATATATTAAATAAGCATGGTTTTATTCTTCTACTAAATGTAGCTATGCTTTTTTGGTTTCTTATCCATATTAATATAGTAGCATTGAAGTGTTTGTTGTTTTACTTAAATGATGGAATTAAAAATAGCATTTAACTGTTGGCTAACTTTTTCAAATGATTAAAATTTGATACATGAATATAAATAAGACAATGATGATAGTTACTAAGTCAACTATTGTTTGTTCATAGATGTTTTGTGTATAAATGTGGTTGGCTGTTGAATTCTAGATAGCTGAATGTAGACAGATGGAAATGATAGTCAACAGTGCATAGAGTCTCTGACCTCTCTCTATCTCTCCTCTTCTTTCTATCCTTTAGATTCTGTTATTCCCTATTTCCCTTTCCTCACCCAGTCTTTCTGTATCTTTCACCTTTCCCGCCTAAATTCCATATCAAAATATTCAGAAAATAACTCAATAATAATATATATGTGTAGTTTTTTAGCTATAAAGTTTTATACTTTGTATTGTTGCATTAATAGTCTTAATAGTCACCAACACTTTCAATTTTTAAAACAAATATTGGGAAGACTAATAGTGTAATTTTCATATTTGATTTTTAAATTCAACACTTTTACTGTGTTAATAGTCAAAATATAGTATTAAAACTTAAATTGATCTTTAGTTGTTGTTTTTATAGTTCCTATTGTCTTTATTTTTTCATTTAATAAACAAATGAATGCTCATCGGACTTTTGCTTGACTAATTTTTTCTGGAGTAGTGGAGTTGAGAGGGGGTCTAACCCTCACTCTAGGCTGGCAAAGGTGGTTTTGTCTGCGACATTAACTCGAGATCCAGGACGGCTTGTTAAGCTTAATTTGCATCACCCTTTGTTCCTCAGTGCTGGCAAAATGCGGTATAGGCTCCCAGAAAATTTGGAATCATTCAAACTGGTATGACATTTTATAGGAGTTTTTGTTTTTTTCAAATTTCTAAAGGGTGTGATTGGGATCATTTTGAGCCTTTGTCACCATAAATTTGGCATGTATTACAGCTAGCTAGTTACTAGATTTAATTTTTCATGAATTTAAAATTTTGTTGGTTATAATGAAAAAATTCCCTTTGTACTTTTATATTTTGATGTATTGAAGATCTGTGAAAGAAAGGTCAAACCCCTGTACTTGGTTGCCCTTTTGAAATCCCTAGGAGAAGAAAAATGCATAGTTTTTACAAGATCTGTGGACTCAACACATCGTCTATGCAATTTGATGAATTGTTTTAGAGATCTGCAAATTGACATCAAAGAGTATTCTGGTCGTCAACATCAACGTGTAAGAAGGTAAGTTTTGATTTATTCGCTCTAAACATTTAGTTGATGTTTTAAACTGAGTTAAATGCTCTCCTTGTAGACTGGACATTACGCAAAACTTGTTCTGAAAGACCTTTTCATCTTTGGACAAGTAGTGTGTTTATTGTTTTGACTTTAGATTAGTTCATTTTGTTTGAAACAACATATATTAAAAGGCTTACAAAAGAGTACTTTTGAAATTGAAATAATAGTGATATATCCCAAACTTATTGAAAACTATACAGGCCCAGTGTTTTGACAAAAAATGCTTCTTCTCTACAGCAAGACACTGAATGAATTTAGAAAAGGGCATTTTCAAGTGCTTGTATCTTCTGATGCAATGACTCGTGGAATGGATGTAGAAGAGGTAAGAAATGTTATTAATTATGACATGCCCAAATACATAAAGACTTATGTTCATCGAGCTGGCAGGACTGCAAGGGCTGGCCAGACTGGGCGTTGCTTTACATTGATGTCAAATGATGAGGTATGAAGTTCTCTTGTCTCATTCATGGTCGTTTGTTGTGCTAGATCGAGTTTTATGACATTTGAGCCATGAAAGAGGCTAAATTACGACTTCATAATGACTCCTAACTAGATTCAACAATTACTTTCTTTTCCCAGTAGGTTTTTTTACTCACTAAGTAACTAAGTTGATCTCTAATATAGATGAGGCGATTAGTTCAGTAGCTTATGCTCGGTACTATGTTCATGATATATACATATATATTTTAATAGTTTTTCCTTTTACTAATAAATTCAACAATTTCTTTTTTTTTAGTAACATTTTGTACTCACTAATCAACTAAGCTGATCACTAATTTAGATTAGGTGGGTGACTTGTCCTTGGTGCTATGCACATGGATTATATCTATAATATATATATATATATATATATATATATATATATATATATATATATATTAATGCTGTTTTTCTCAAAGATGCAGAATTACATTCCTGAGAGTTGAATTTTTAACACAGTTCAATGGCATGGTGCGTTTCAAGTAGCCAAAGTCACTTAGTGGATTACGACTGTTGTTATCATTGGGTGCTCTTCATTGATATTTTCCTTCTGCTGTGTTGTTTGTTTCTTGTAAATGAATTAAAAAGATCTCTTATCTGGTTGGCTCTTTGTATTCTTCTTTATCTTTTTGGATTTCTTTTAACAAAAAGATTGAACTTAATTTGTTTTGGCTTGAATTATGAAAAGGATACCAGCACTTGCTGCTTTGGCTTGAATAAATACTTATCATTCTTTATTTAAGTTTATGTTGGCACTCTTTCATCCCTATGACTCACTGATATAATTTGTCACTACTAGAGTCTGAATATTGTTTTCCTAAATCATTCTTGTCAACACTTGTCTCATTCCAGGTTGGACGGTTTAAGAGGTTGATGAAAAAGGCTGAGGCTAGTGCTTGTCTTGAGCATACTGTTCCCTCCCATTTGATTGAAGAACTTCATAGTACCTACCAATCAGGTAAATATTTGAAATTCGACTTTTGGTGTGTAATGCACAAGCACCTTTCTCAACCATTGCCATGGGTGGATAGACTGCATTGACATTGTTATAGCTTAATATGCTATGACGAATATGCATACATGGGATAAAGGGACAAAAAGGCAGACACAATATTTGTGAAAGCTTCTATTTTTAATTGAGTCACCATAGCAATAAAAAAGAAAGGTATACAGCCTAGAATTATTGCAGCTTATCAAAAGGATAAGATGGGAATCCAAGAGACAAAAATGACAGTCTAATGCAGCTCACTAAAAGCATAACAAAAGAAAGTCCTAGACTATTTTGGAAGCTTGGATTTGATCTTGGGCTTATTCATCGTCTATGGGCTGATTTTGTAACTTGGGCTTTTTTTCTGATGTCCCTTACAAGCTAGAGATAAAAAATTATCAGCCAGCTCTAGCTTGGATAAATTTGATGCAAAAGGTTTAGCTTTAGAAAGAGGGTTTTGAATAGAGCTCATCTAACAGTTTTTCAAACAAGTATACAAAGACTTTCGCAAACATCTTAAAGATGACAAAAAGTTGAAAACCCGTGCAATAGAAAGAGTCAACGAAACGTTTTGGTTCCCCCCTAACTTGGACTACATTTTGTTTTTCTTTACCAACTTCAAGGTGTTCCCCTCTTGACTTACAATTAGTACACTGAGATAAACATTAATACACTTTAGATTTAGAGCAGAGTTTTCATTATCTTACAATGAGAAACTCCTAACTTACAATGAGTGCACCAAGCCACTATTGACTTACAATGAGTACACCATGCCGCACTTGACTTTCATCTAACTATCATCTAATCTACGCTTAAGATTCAACACCGAGTACACAATACCCCTTCAGGAAGAGTACACAACCTCTCTAGATTATATAACAAAAATTGTTTTGAATACAAGTTTCACTCTCAACAAAGGATTTACAAAGAGTCTAAAATTCACAACTATGAAGGATTTACAAACAACACTCTCACTCTAGAAGATGAACCTTTACAAAAGCACTTAGAAGCTATAAGTATGAATCACGTAAGGCATTTATAGATTGTTTCACATTTGTTTTTCATAATATTTAACAACTTCAACAACACTCAGTTCTCTCTCAAAGTTCTCAGCAACTTTGATTTGCATTGGGTTTCTTCGATTTATTATCATCACAAAAAGTCTACTCTAAATGTACTTGACTTTACGTTGATAACTTTTATTGTTGAAGGACAACCTTTCTCTTTGTAGCTAGTTCTGTGTTAAGCTTCGAGAGAGAGAGAGAGAGAAAGTAGAGACATGTTGAACGAGAACAGATTTTATTGAAACTCAACTAATGAGAAAGATCTGTACATGAAAGTATTTATACAGCTGTCTAATATGGTCAACTATTAACTATAGTTGACCATTGACCATAGTATAGTTAACCCCTAACTATTAGATACAAATCAACTATTACTGTGTACACTAACAGTCCCCCTCAAACCCAAGGTGAAGAGTTATCAACAGAGAAACTTTTCGCATTGAGTTTGGCTCATAGTAAAGCTAACCAAGTGGAAGAAAGGGGTTTAGTTAAAACATCTGCCCATTGATCAAGAGCAGGAATATGAAAAATCTGTAACTGTTTGGCCGTGACTTTTTCTCTAACAAAAAAAACATCAATCTCCATATGCTTGGTACGGTTATGGAAAACTGGATTGTGAGCAACGGGGAGTGCACTATGATTATCACACAAAAGAGCAGGTGTAGAAAATATTGATAAGTCGTAATATTGATATGGGATAATAGAAAATATCGATAACCCCAAAATGTTGTGAAAGAATCGAAAGCCGTGATGGGTTATGGGAAAGTATCGTGGACAAAAGAAAATACAATATATATATATACACACACACATAGATAGATAAGGGGAAATACCATCAAATCGAGGGAAAATACCACCAGATTCATGTTTTAAAATACCGACAAAATATAAGAAACGTTTTAAAATTTCTAAGTGATCCAATGGGCTGTTTTTCTGATGTGTCCGTGTCGTCTTCATGATAAAAAAAAAATACCATAGGTTATTGTATTTTAACTAATTAATTGAGATGATTTTTGATACCCAGAAAAGGAATGAATATATAATATTACACTTGTCCCTTCATAAGATTTCTAAAATATGATAATTTTATAGCGCATGGACCTGGGATAGCTTAATGCATGATTTCTTTTATCTTTTTGCTATTTAATAGTTACTTGGATGTTTCTTATTCAGTGTCACGATTCCATTATGCATAGTCAGCTCCGCAGCTATTTCCTACACTAAAATATATTTCTTCCTGTACCTCAAAAATTCTCAATTTGTGCTTTTGTTTTTTTCAGACAGTAGTCCGAAAATAAATAAAAAATGACTTTTGGATTATATAGTCTGGAAGTAAAAAGTAACTTATTTTATATGGGTGTGCAAAAAAAAAGACCATGGAGCTGCAGAAAGAAACTGTTTTATGCGTAGCAACATAGGCCTTGGGTGAACCCAAACATTTCTTAATAACCTTTTTCTTTATGCTGTTTTTTACTTACAATACTTTTTTCACTTAAATGTGTTGGATGTAGATTACAAATTCTGGTTTAACTTAATTCGATGCCAAACCAGACATGTACTAAGTCTCTGACATGTTCCATTGTTGGCAGCACTATCAAAATTAAAGGAGATAATATTGGAGAGTCGCAGGAAGCCCAAGGATAAGTCCTGTCAATAGATCAGAAAGAGAGAAAAGAGAAAAAGTATTTCACGGGAATGGCTGCCAATGATTTATATAGATAGTGAAGTTAATTTATTTTATTACTTTACTAGAGTTAACATATTTTAAGATTCTTGTAGAATGATATTTATTACTGTTTTATTTAATATATCATTGTTTATTGTAACCTTACTATTTTCATTTAAAATAATAATAATAATAATATAATAGTAATAATAATAATAATAATAATAATAATAATAATAATAATAATAATAATAATAATAATAATAATGTACTCTACTGTTGAATGACAATTCCAAATACTATAGACATTAAAGTGACGTGATTCTGAAGATAGTTTTTTTAGGACAGTAATGAATCCAGTGACGGTATTGGATTAGCGAGTTTGTTCGAACTCGTAATCACTCGTTAAACAGCATCATCTTTTATATATTAAATAAATAAATTTTATGTAAAACATAATATATATTTAAACACTTATTAATTATGATGTTGGCACGTAGAAATAGTGCTGAATCCCAACCCTTTTAAAATGGTTTTCCTTCAAAATGTGCAGGCAAGCCTTGTAGGACTAAGTAGCCTATAAAGCTTGAGCAGTGTTAATTACGAATTTTTAAATTGGATTGAAACAATAATTAATAAACTTACAGAAAATAGTTAAAGGATCCATTTGAATAATGAAAAGCAGAAATTAATGTTTATCGCCTTTTTACGTTTTTAATTATATATTCCTTATAATACCATTTGAGGGAAGCATTAAATCAATTTTGAAAGAAATAAAAGATAATTGATTAATTTGAGCATTTCAATTAAGATGACCAATAAATCTTTTCGTGGATATTATTTGAATTTTGATGAAATTTTTTTACATTGAGAATGTAAAAGTTGGAAACATGGAATTCCGAAAAATCATATGGATAACTTAGTGAATTATAAGTAAATGTGTTTGGATAGTTTAATTTAAAATTTTTTATTCAATAAAAAGTTTTTTAATTATATATGATTTCTTGTTATAAGGTTTTAAATCCTCATGATTGAGAAGATATTTTTAATACTATTTTTGGATGACCTTAACACTCTAGATGTGTTTGTATCGTTGTATACAGTGTGAGAATTTGAGGTTACTTTGTAGCCTCATCATAATGCCAATCTCATTCATTGTTTAATGTTTCTATAGAGCAAGTCTTGAAGAAGATGAAAGTTGGCTTGGTAGAGTAGTTACAACAAAAGATGACAGAAGAACGAGAGTAGATTAGACATGAGTGGCAAGTGATGATGAAAACATTTGACAAGCATTTAAAGAGCTTAGTACTCTTACAAAAGCTCCCTATTATGGTACAACTCGATCTTTTTCTCGATCTCCAAGCCAATACTAAAGGGAGTTGTTCAACTACAATTAAAATGAGGTTTGACATTGGCTTTGGTTGCCAGTGTGAGTTGTACACATTGGTTAATTATGTATCTCCCTCCTAATTGGTGGCTCATGGGAAATGCTTTGAAGGTTCAACCATGTTGCATGGTAAATGTCTCCTATCTCATTTGGTAAAGGTTATGGTAGAGATTGTATTGACAATTGATGTTGTAGTTCTTATATCGACATTAGGGGTTGTTGGTATTGTATCACAAACATTACAAACTTTCATTGCTTGACTGAAACATCTCATGAGGATGACACCGCAAATTGAATTGGTTACACCACATATTAAATCGATTTGTATCTCCATTAATATTGTTACATATGTAATATATAATCCTAACTAATGTCATATATTTGTTGTGTAGCAACATGAACAAAGTTGTATGCATAAAAAAATTTGGAAGATCCAATAGCCATGTTGACGGAGGTTACTATAACCATGGTGATTCATTGGGATGCCACTATTTTTGACAAAGATAGAGATCTTCCATGGTTTATATATATATGATTTGATGGAGACTTTAGTAGGAAATGAGGAGTTAAACATATCTATTCTACAGTTATGGATGATGTAAGCTAACTTTTAAAGTCATTTGTATTCCTTACTTCATTAGATATTTGATGTGTTTAATATCAAATTTAAGTACTTATATGGTTTGTGTTTAGAAGAGGGAAATGATGACACATATGGGTTTATAGACCTTCAATTCATGACCTTAATGGGTGACAAGAAAATAGAAACAAAAATTTACATCACTAATTCTATAATGCAAGGGTAGAAACAAGTTTACCTTGCTTTATATATAGATAAGTAAGTCCATGCTTATTTAATAACTTATAGTTTTGGTATGATATATGTTTTAACTAATTTTCAACGTAGTCCTCATTAGCAATTACTAGTTTTATTAGTGCCAGATCGTACCGTACCTTATGTTTTTGCTCCCTACATTAGAAGCATCTCCCTCACTTGAGAAGTATAGTAGACATGTAAGTCTATTTTAAAAAACCCCTACTATCTACTACTACATTGACCTTTAATATACAGTTGAATGTTTCCTAACATTGAATTTTTTTTATCTTAGTGTCTTTAATTTACATAGTATATTGAGTGTAGATCAACTACACAACTCAAAAGGTCACATGGATTTGTTAAGGTATTTATGGTTCATCATTAACTTTTAGTCTTATCATTTGATTTATCTAAATAATTTTACTGAGTGTAGTGAAATAAACAAACTAGGAGCTACGAGTGTGACTATTACATCATGTAGTGGATGACAACTATTGTGCAAGTCGGCTATCGAAGTAATTGGGATGATGTAAGATGTTATAACCTACTATTATTAACTGTAGTTTCAAAATCAATTAATATGTCCTAGTTTTAACTTCATTTCACTTTTGTAGAATTTTAATGATGACCAATTGTTCCATCAAAGAGTATTAGAATATGTTCAACAAGCATGGACAAAGTAATTTATTATCATATATAAAAGTTTAAGGTGTTAGAGTTAGACTTAGAATTATTTGTTAGAATAATTTTATTGTTACTTGTCAGAGTATTGATATATTATACATGTTGAACTGTGTTTCCACTGAAATGGGACGAGGAAACCGCCTACGCTCCTTTCGTACCAAACGTTCTCCTAGCTCTGAGCTCCGACAAATTGATCGGCCTTGTAGTCTTGTAATCCTGCGTGCCGAGTGTCCTTATTCCTTCCTTCAGAATATTAAACACCGAATGGGGGTTGACCTGCAGAAGACACTCTGACGTTCAAGTCAGAATTTTTCTCTATAGGTCTTTTATAATTAATAATAAGTCAAAAGTCATTTTACCTCTAAAGTAAACCCCTATTTATAGAGTTTAAAGGAATTTGACCAATTAATTTACCTCTTAATGGTCATTAATGAAAACTTTAGCTGCTTAACAATATTCGTTGTGACATTAATTGTGCCTTAAATGTGTTCAACGATTGTCGGGATCAAGTAGCTCTGAGACGTTTTCTTAAACGTCCACCCGCTTGGTTTTGCTCCTGCAATTTATCACCCTTATCGATCGGTTAAGTTCGAAACCATAGTAACAAACTGTATGTTTTGTATAAAATTTTTTTAATAGGTTTTAGGTAGATGAAATTATAAAATTGCAGGTTCTTATAAAATTATGAAATTATAAAATCACATTTAAAAAAAACCATCACTTTTAGCAACGGTTCTTATAATCAATTTATTATTATATTTTTTTACTTTTTATTGGATTTATAACAAAGGTCAAGAATAAAACCGTCATTTTATAAATCTTTTTCATTAATTTTTTTGTTCTAATTAAAATTTGATGAAGTATCGTCATTATTTTAAAATTTCAATAACAATTAAATTTAATTGTCGTTAAATTTTCAGCATGGAATAATAGTTAAATATGATTATTGTTGTCTGTAAAATACTTTTAACGATGATTCAATAATATTTTTACAGTCACAGTGAAAAATTGTTTTTAACTGTCTAGATAAGCCCAGTGATTAAAACTTGAGGAACAATGTATGGCAAATAATTAACCAAACACTACCTTCGAATTCAATACAGAACTAAACCAATCATTGTTTGATAATTTTTGTATCCTGTCTAACCTATATACATAAAGACAAAAAAAAAACAAAAAAATTATATATGACTCAATGGTTTGATAAGGCAAATTAAACTATTATCTGAATAACCTTTACAATATATTAAAATTGACAAACTATCAAGAAAGTTGTTAATATTTACTTAAACACTTAAAATCAATTGCTATAGATTCTTATAGGACCGCAGAAATTTCCTAAAGCCCAAAACAATCTAAAATAATATCTTCAATAATTCACCATTTTAAGCACATTGTCCTTGCCTCCCATTAACGTTGTCGGAACCTCACCGCCAATTATAACTACGATGCTACACTTGGCATCCATGTTCTTCGTTCAATCAAAATTCTCCAACATCAATGCAATTCAAGATCCAATAATCAGTGCCCTGAAACTTGGAAGACTAACCCAACCAACATAAAATAAACAAATGTATGAACAAAATTTCTCGAATATACACCCATGTCATGCTCATACCCATCAGAAGCAACGTGGCATCCTAAAATAGCCCTTCACTAAACCCCAAAAAGTGTATATTTGTAAGAACTGTACCCAACAAAAACCATATCTCCATGGATATGAAATTTCCACCCACCTTTTGACACATACCATTCAGGTCCCACCGGAAAGTTATCCACAAGGAAAAGTTAGGAAAACAATCTTGCGTCGCAATTAATACCAAAAGCTAGAGACGGCACTAACAGATAAATTTTGATTTAACCTTTATGATTGAGACCATTGACTCAATCTTAGCCTAGTTAAGTAACTCTAGCTACTTCTTATAAATCCAACCCTTCATCCCTTCATTCCCATCATCAACAATCAAACCAATTTCAGCACAATTTCTCTCCTTTCCAAAAAAATGGCGAATTCCCGCATTGCTAGGTTCTTCATGGAGGTAGCACCACCACAGTATGTTACTGTGATGAGGCACAGAACTTCAAAGATGTTGGACACTATTAGTGAAGATGAGAGGGAGATTAGCGCTAATGATTCTGTCATTTCACCACCTAAAAGCTCAGCAGTTTCGTCTGCTGCTTCTGTCACCAATGCAAAGAGCAGGTACTTCCTCAAGGAAGTTCATAGATCCCTCTCTATTCTGAATCAGTGAAGCCAGATCCTGTCGTTGTTTTTTTTTTCTCTTTATGTATGAGTCGTGTAAAAACGCCAGTTATTTTAGTTGATGTATTGCCTTCTTGTTAGGTAATTATTGTATCCTATTCAAGGGGTTTCATGAACAAGAATAGTTTGGACTCTAAAGACACTTTTCTGCAATACATACACATACATATACATATGTATTTATTTATGTATGTGTGTGTATGTGTGTATGTATAACAGCACAGTTTGGGAATTCTTGCACTTGTATTCTGCTTACAGACTCGTGATTTTCTACCAATAAACTCATCTGCCTCAAGTTTTGATATCTTGCTAAAGCTCTGGCTATAATTTCTGAAAATGTTAATAAAAAAAGGCTTTTCTCATAAGTTAAAAATAATTACTCATGCAAACATTAAAAACTGCGGCTTGTAACAAAGGTTTTTCGATACACTGCAATAGGATCCTGTTATGACTGCAAATTGTAAAACAATAATTGAGGGTTGCTTGTGTTTGTTGTAGTGCCTTCGGGGAGAACTAGATGTTAAGTTTCAAGACTTGTCTACTGGAAAAGGCTAACATTTTGATGTTGTAAAATTATAATGCATAAATAAATACAAATATCATTTGTAGATATGTATTTGGAAAATGTAAATTTTTGTTACTATAACCATTGAAAAACCCATGTTATATAGGGTTTAGTGAAGCTAAATGCAAGGGCAACGTATGCTATGTTCCGTCACTTCTTCCTTTTCCAAACTTCGGTGACCATCTTTGAAAAATGTTTCGTTTGCAAGCATTACAAATGGAAAAATGTCATTCTAACGTGTACCCCACTGCCATAGTTGCCCGATAGAAAATGCCAATGATGTTCAGTAGTCTATAGAGGATAAGAACGATATCTTAGATAATAGTTAATATATATTACAGATAATTTCGCCATGGTGTCTGATGAATAGTTCTCCCTTATTTCTATACTGCATAATAGAACTTAATTTTCAATCATTGAAATCAAGATCATAATTATTTTTCATATTAAGATTCCGTGGATTTTACCTATTGTCAAACTCCACCACCACCACTTCTCCTTCCACTCACCAACCTTTTGCAAAAAAAATTTAATTACAAAAATAACTTTATTTACTTTTTAATCCTAAACTCAATGCCTAACTTTTTACTCAATTTCATTTTTTCACTCAGTCGCACCTCCCAACTCTCCTTCTCTCTCTTTTTAGATTCAATTCTCATTCTCTCTCTTTTCAGATTCAGATTCCCACCCCCAACTCCATCACATCCGTTCTTCTCATCTCCCATCTCTTCTTTCTCTCTTCCATATCCGTTTTCTCATCAACCACACCCCCAACTCTCCAAGTCTCATTTTCTTGTTTCGACGGTGCAGCAGTCAAGCGGTGCGGTGGTGCGACGGTGCGACAGTGTGTGCGGTGGTGCTTCGCGTCTTGGGTCTACGAGAGGTTAGCATCTTCGTTTCATTCTTGCTTTTAAATTCTTTTTTGTAAATGTATTGAATATCTTTGTTGTGGTTAATGTGTTTTGCTCTGTTTTTTTTTCTCTGTGTGCGTGTGTTCGGAGGAAGCTTTGTGTGTGCGTGTGTTCGGAGGAAGAAGATAACAGGTCATGAACGGATGTCGCATATCCGTTTGGCCCTGAAATGGATGTCAATATCCGTTGACGGATATCAACATCCGTTTCAGGGCCAAACAGATATGCGACATTCGTTCAGACCTAGATGTTCTTTTTTATATTGTTTAGTTTTTAGTTTATTATTAGTTTTTAGTTTTTAGTTTTTAATTATTTTTATCAACGAATTTTATTTAATTTTTTATTTTCAATTTATTTGTCACGTAATTATTTTATTTTAATTTTTTAGTTTATTAATTTATTGTATTTTTAATTAATTTATAGAGTATTTAAATTTAGTATTTTTTTATAATTTGTTATTTATTTATATCTAAATTAAAATTATTTTATTTAATGAAATAATTATTATTAAATTAATAAAAAAATATTAATTTAATGAAATAATTATTAATTTAATTAAAAATGTTTTTGTCAGAAATGGTAAGAACACGAGGTGCATCTTTTAGTTCTCGTGGAGAGAGTTCTCGAGGAGAGAGTTCTGCACAGGGTGAAGGTAGGAGACGACCTACAGTTTCGGCTCGGAGAAGACATGTAGCTCCTATTCAAGATGACCCTATAGCCGAGGACCGAGCGTTTGAGGAGGAGGCATTTGAGGCCCCTGACGGCGATAATGAGGAGGAGGAACATGTCGATGTTCCTGACATACAGGAGGAGGATGTCGGTGGATTTCCTGGAGGTCCACGTGATGCTTCATTGATGACAAAATATGTTCAACATGTTGCTTATGGAATTTCACAGGGACGGGTGAGAGCATAACTTAAATTTTAATTATTAAGTTTTTTTCGAATACAAATGATATTAAATATTGTTGTGTAGGATCGAGGGGAGATACTGAAGTTGATCTCCCATGGTAAAATAGTTAATAAGTTAGGACCGTGCGTCGAAAGAATTCAACACATTGTGTTGAATTCCTCTTTGATGCCTCTCACAGATATTTACTATGATTACGTTGATAAAGGCTTGTTGCTCGGTTTCATAGAGGAATGACACTTTGAGACGAGTAGTTTCCATCTCTCTGTAGGGGAGTTGTCGATCACTCTTGACGATGTCTCCACTTTACTTCACCTCCCGGTACTAGGACAATTATGTGATTTGGAGAAGTTGGAGTTTGAGGAGGCTCGACGGCCCTCGTAGACCTACTCGACGTTGATGGTGGCGCAGTTGGTGCTGAGACTCAGCTGGCTCAGAGAGATATATGTTCAGAGGTGTCACTCGCAGAATTGGGATTATGTTGCTAGAGCATATCTCTTGCATCTAGTAGGATGCAAGATTTTTGCAAATAAAAGTGTCACTTCTATACGCGTGTCTTACCTACCATTATTTAGAGAAGTACACGCGTGTGGCAGATATGCTTGGGGTGTTGCTGCACTCGCCCATTTGTACGACCAGCTCGGGGATGCGAGTCTGGTTTCCAAGAAGCAGATGGCTGTATATCTAACTTTGTTTCAGGTACAGACATATACCCTTCACATTTATTTGATGTACTTATTTCCATGTTCAAAGACGAAAGAAATTTAATTAAATAATTGCATTTTTAGAGTTGGATATACGAGCATTTCCCTAGCATGGGAAGGAGGCGGTTGGTATCTTCTTATGATGACACCACACCACGTGCGACTAGGTGGCAGAGCCCTTGGCAGAGTTCGACTCTTGCAAAGATTCGATCGCAGTTGGATGGCCTGACATACTGATGCCAACCCCTTTAGGGACTTCCCATCCAAAGAAGTATCAACTAAAACTAAGACTAAAGAAAGGGAAGTAGAATAAAAATTGCTAAAGCTCTTTCCTTATATAAGTCTTGGATAGATTCTCTTTAACTAAATCCATTTACATTGTTTTGTAGGACACTAATAAAGAGTGGAATGTTCCTAGGAGAGTTGCCAAGCAAAGAGGCAAAGAAGAATGCATTGTGCAGCCAGCCGTGTAACTTCTTTGAAGCACGTTTTCAACATTTTCCATGTGAAACATGCAGCCAGCAACATTCCCCAAGTGAAACATGCAACCAGCCACGTTTTTAATGTTTCCCACATGAAACATGCACCACGCACACTCATCCAAACACTGCCAGTCAAACACTTGGTCTGCACCGATATCTCCAACCTTGCTTCCATTCCGCTGCCATTTCTGGATCAAGGAGCCACTCCAGTCTTGAAGATTGAGGCCGCTTCCATCACATACAGTGGAGTTGTATGACATCCATATGAGGGACATCGGGGGAATTCGTCCATTCTTCGGCATCTGTATGTATTTTGGATGGATTCAGATTGGTGACACCCTTTCCCATCATTTGCCTGAGCGTGTGATGAGGCAGTTTGGGTTATACCAGGAGATTCAACGACCATCCACTGCCGTTGCAGATGTAGATGTAGTCGCTGTTGATTATGCGTGGTTGCACTTCATGAATCACGTTATTATGAATGTGAGACAAGCATCATACCCTTCTGAATGTGTCGATGGATACATACAGTGGTTTAGGAGGGTTTCACATCCCTATGTTATTCCTGCTCCACCTAACACGAGACCGGCTCTTGGGCCTATACAGCGCCCCGATGTTGCACAGGAGGCACGACCCCATCGTAGATCCTCTCCACATTCATCATCTGGCATCTTGTTATGTTATTTTTCATTGCTTATGTTATTAAATTTTCTTAACCATGTTTATTTATTTGTTTGATATAATTATAATGCAGGCTAGATTTAGGCGAATGGCGAGAATGTTATAATCATTGATATCGTGTCGTGTCATGTGACTGAGGGTACTGTTGCACATCAGGTGTCGGTGGACCTGCTTCAGATTGCTAATGAGGGCATCGACGAATATTCTCCGACTAGGAGAGGGCAGAGGCATGTGCATGGTAGACGGTCGACGTCTAATTGATAGGACTTTGTATTTCATTTTTTTAACAAGTTATGACTCACGAGATTATGTGTTATTTGGGATACACTAATGTTTACCTTAAGTGTTCGTTAACTAATTTTCTTTTCCAAATTTTGGCCTTAAGTAAATTACTACATTTTGTATGTTTTACATTGTTACTGTAGCCGTACTTTTAATTTTAACATTTGTATGATAATGCATTTAATATTTTAACATTGTTAATGCAGCTATACATTTTCATTTCTTAAAATTTTTTGTATTTCCTCAATATAAAATTTAGATCACATAACTAATGTTTTCGACAATTTATTATCGACTCGTAATAATGGTATTAATTATGTTCCATCATAATCAGTTGCCTGGATTTCAAAATCATTGGTTCACAAAACTTAAAATTTAATTTACACCTTAACAAAAAGTAATAATGTATTTTTACATATCTTCATAAATATCACGAATCATCCAAGTCAACATAAGATGTCATTATGCCCATCAACTGTGCAAATGCTTGCATCCTACTAGTATAAATAGATGACCACGCTCGTGCCTCAGAATAACAGTGGGTTGAGGAGATGATATTCACCATGGGCAAAGGACAACCTTCTTGTAACTTAACCTACCATAATACAAATTACAATAGTTAATTGAGTCATAAGTAATTTTCAAATGAAATCACAAAATAATACAATTACCTGCACGAAATGACATCCATGAACATGTCCTATACAAATTAACCGATGTTGAGTTATATCAGAAGGTGGTGTGGAACGTAGTGGGAAGATAGTATAATTTTGAGATGATGACATACACACTAAGATGACATTATATCAGTTAGCAATTGCATAACCAATGTCTGGTAATGTCATCCACTTATTCCTGTTAGCCTGTTATGAATAAAAGTTGTTAGATAAAATAAATATAATAAATAAAATACATAAAACAGGAAAAACTTACCGCCGACTGTGATTGCACCAACAAAGAGTTCCTCAGTTCTTCTAGTCTATCATACCCTCCTACTTTGGCTTGCGTATTCATCACTCCATTGACTGAGTTTTTTGTACAAATCATTTCTGATAACGGGCCATGAATCTTCTCTGAGTCCCAACGACGTAGCAATGCATTTATATCCACAGTGACCATCAGCCACAACATCAACAACGTCCACAATGAAAGGGTGAGTAATAGAATGAAACTGGTCTATCATTGGAACTCTTTTTTTCTTCACTACATTTAGCTTTGATTGTAATTTACTTTTCACAGTTGAAGATTCTATTGTTGAATGAAAGGCATCGACATACTCAAAATATGATGGATCCCGCATAGTAGACCTTTCTCTTCGTTGAACTTTACTTTTTTGAGCACCCTTTGTCTTGACTTTATGTAATGGAGGAACCATTGATGTCAATGTAGGACAAGTAATGTCAAGTAACTTGTGCTTGATGGTGACTTTATCTCCAATGCCAACCTCATTGAATCATTCTTCTACTTGTTTCAACTCATCTTTAATGGATAACTCGGGCTCGGTTTCATTTAATTCAACATTTGAGAAATGCAACTTCGCCACATGATATGAAATTCACCCAGAGGGATCAATGCAACATCATACTGTGGTAATTCACATGCACAGGGGACACCAAATGTACGTCTCAATACGCATCCACACTTTGATGAGTCCAATCCTATCTACTGCACTCTTTCCAATTTCTTAGCAATGAGATCCAATGCATATCGAGAGACACACCCAATAAGTTTTCTATATCTGTATCCTTTAAAAGGTCACCCGTGAGTAACAGACTTCTTTCAAATGACGCCTTAATCTTGTTGTGTTGTAAGATAACGACGTTATGAATACTAACCCAATAAGAACATAAATCACCCATACTATTATCCAGAACTTTCATCAGACTCCAATGAGCAGACTCAACCCTAAAATAAAAAAGAAACCATCAACAAGTGCAAATAAATATTTATCTACAAAACAAATAAATAAAATAACATTACAACACACCTATTTCTGGTTGTGTTCCCTAAATGCATTACTCTGCTCGTCCAGAACTTTACAAAGTATGTATTCACTAGTGCAAAATTGATCTTTAACGTCATCCCATAGACGTCCGTCCACCAAAACCCCAACGTAAATAATTGACCGGTGGCATAAATGTAAATAATTGAGTGTGGAGACGTCCGTCCTAGAAGGGGTCGAACGTCTATAATATAGTAGACGTCCGACCCCTCTAACGGACGTTCAAAAGCCTGACGGGAGAGTTGAAGATTCAGCCTTATGAACGTCCGTCCTGGAGGGGGCTGGACGTCTATATATATTAAACGTCCGGCCCCCTCAAGGACGGACGTTCAAAAGACTGACGGGTTAAACTACCCTGTCAGCCACTTGAACGTTCGTCCTGGAGGGGGACAGACGTTTAATATATATAGACGTCCGTCCCCCTCCAGGACGGACGTTCAAGAGACTGAGATAGTAGTTGAACCCGTCAGCCCCTTGAACGTCCGTCCTGGAGGGGGACGGACGTTTAATATATATAGACGTCCGTCCCCCTCCAGGACGGACGTTCAAGAGATTGATGGGTTGAACTACTGTCAGTCTTTTGAACGTCCGTCCTGGAGGGGGACGGACGTTTAATATATATAGACGTCCGTCCCCCTCCAGGACGGACGTTCAAGAGACTGAGATAGTAGTTGAACCCGTCAGCCCCTTGAACGTCCGTCCTGGAGGGGGACGAACGTTTAATATATATAGACGTCCGTCCCCCTCCAGGACGGACGTTCAAGAGATTGATGGGTTGAACTACTGTCAGTCTTTTGAACGTCCGTCCTGGAGGGGGACGGACGTCTATATATATTAAACGTCCGTCCCCCTCCAGGACGGACGTTCAAGAGACTGACAGTAGTTCAACCCATCAGTCTCTTGAACGTCCGTCCTGGAGGGGGACGGACGTCTATATATATTAAACGTCCGTCCCCCTCCAGGACGGACGTTCAAGGGGCTGACGGGTTCAACTACTCTCTCAGTCTCTTGAACGTCCGTCCGTGAGGGGGACGGACGTCTATATATATTAAACGTTCGTCCCCCTCCGGAACGGACGTTCAAGAGACTGATGGGTTGAACTATACTCTCAGTCTCTTGAACGTCCTGGAAGCGGCCAGACGTCTACTATATTATAGATGTCCGGCCTCCGCCACAACGGACATTCAAAAGACGTTTAAAATAAGGACTTACTAACCAAAACGCGAACCCGCGAGGAGTTATGCGAACCTGTGAGAGTTCCCTCTGCGCTTTGCATTTCCAGGTTGGTTTTTATTTGTTTTGGACCATTTAGTCTTACTTTTATTCCGATTAAATTGTTCAGTGATGAAATATCTTTTATTTGGATCAATTAAAAATCGTTTTCGGTGCAGTTTGTTGCGTGTTCTTGGGCGGCGTTTTTGGCCTACGTTTTAGGTCGTTTACTCCTCCATCTCCCTCCATTTTCATTTCGAATCTGCTCTTCAGACGTGTTACAGTGCACAAACAAACGTCCAAACCCTGTAATCCTAAATAACCCTAAATAACCCGTAAATAACCTTAAATAACCCATCTAATAAAGCCCTTTCTGTAGTAGTGTATAGACGTCCGAGAGGTTCACATCGTACGTCTATATAGACGTCCGGCCTAACACAGCGGACGTCTATATAGACGTCCGGCCTGACACAGCGGACGTCTATATAGACGTCCGGCCTGACACAACGGACGTCTACATAGACGTCACCCCAAAGACGTCGGTCGAACGTCGGACGTCAAAAAGCCTAAAGAACGGACGTCTATAGCCCTTTCTGAACTAGTGATTGTACGGAATAATCCAAGTCTGATTCACATATTCAAAGAACAAAGGCCATGAACTGCTCGCCTATTGAAAACTATTCACATACTCAGCAAACAAGCTCTCATCAGCACAATCCATCACATTTTGCCATGCATCCATCAACACATCCCAAACCTCAGTAGAATGAACTAACATTTTGCATTTAGCTTTAACATTTTTAAGGATGTGGAACTGACATAACATCTGATATGACTCAGGGAATACATTTGCAATGACATTCATCAAAGCCAAGTCTCGGTCAGTGACAATGACTTTAGGACCACCCTCAGATGTTAAAAGTAAACCTTTCAGCTTTTTCAAAGCCCATGTGAAATTACTTTGCCGTTTAGTAGACAAGAAAGCAAATGTTGCAGAGAAGTTTAACCCTGTAGACGTCATGCCCACAATCTCAAGCAACGTAAGTCTATATCTGTTTTTTTTTATATGTGGAATCCATCAAAAATACAACATTAAATGAGTTTAACAATTTCACCGCATCAGGATGTGTCCAAAACAGGTCAATAACAACCTCTAAATCGTCGGCACACCAACTCCAATGAATGTACTTATCCCAGTCCAACAACATCATAAGTTGTTCAGTTCTGGACCCCCTCAATGATCGTTTATACACTTGTCTTGCGTTGTAGATTTGTTTAATCGTTGTGACATTTCGATCATTATTTTGTTTAAAAGTTAATAAAATATTTGCAGGTGTAACTTTACTCTTTGTCATATCAACCAGTAATGACTGCTCACTCATATTTAACCTGCCAGCATAAGGATGCTCAACTAAAGTTTCAGCCAACTCATGGTTGTGATGTCCACACATCACCTTCAACACCCATCCATCCCCGTCTGAGCATGGTTTACCCTTTAATTGAAACAGACACTCACATTTACGGGTGCCGTATACACTAGGCACTACATCGACTTTGTATTTCTGATATTTCCCTCCTCTTTCACATCCAAGTACGACGAACGTTTTTCTTCCCCGTACACCAGTAGCTATATCAGATCCAACCCGACCCGACCCACCACGGGTTGGCCACTTAGTGAGCCAATCCAACCCAACTCATTTATTAGCAAGCCAAAAAAATTTGAACCTGACCTAACCCATCACAGGTTGATGGCTTAAACGGGTTGACTCATTGGCTCACTTAACGTTTTTTCACCGTCTTTTTTTGAGATTCTTAACCGTTTGACCAAGAAATTACATATAACTGTTAACAAAAATATATAGCAGAGGGGAACTTTTGGATAGACAACAACACAATGCAGCACAAAAAGCTCTATTGCTTTAATTAATTTAATTTCAATAAAAAAGAAATAGGATTTGAATAATTAATTTAATTAATTTGATTTCAATAAAAAAATAGATGGGTTGGTGAGCCAACCCGACTCACCACGAGTTCAACCCGGGTGAGCCGGATTCTTAACGAGCCAGGTCAAAATTGACTCGCATCAAAATTTTCATATTTTTTTCTAATCCAACCTGGCTCAAATCCGGGTTGGCTCACGGGTTTCAAGTCGACGGCACTAATTTTTGCCTAGAGTTCAGATACTAAATTCAGATATCAAACCTACAATCAGGGATGAATATTACGCAGCATTCCAATGATGATAAAGGAAGTTTTCTTTTCTGCTGCATTTCACGTTAGCAAGGTATTTGAAATCTCACATCACCAAAAGATAGATTTACAAGTATATACAAATCTTATCTTAAGTAATTTTTATAAGGTAGATTTAGCTTAAAATTCACGTATCAAAGAAGCTAATACTTGTTATTTGTTAGACTTAGCGTGTTAACCATAAGTTTTTTCCATGATTGAATTTTATCTTTGCACCTAGTGTCAGGTTTGAACTTCTGTATAGTTTTTCCTTTTGCAATAGGAATAAGATGAAAACTTCATCTTACCATAGTGTTCTTCAGGTTTCTTCCTTTTTTATCAACAAAGTTTTTTTACATTGTTTAATTTTACTTTTGGTCTATATTACTATACACCTTCCATTCAATACTTTTAATGTGTAACTACATTTGAAACTCTTTGTCAGTTTCATTATTCTCCATTCTCATATTTTCAAAACATGAATTCTCTTCTTCCTATCACTTCTTTCAAACTTCTCTTCAATTAATAAAAAAAAATTCATTAGATGTAAATTTAGTCGCTTAGGAAATATTTTCACATCCCAACAAAATATCACAACGAAAGTAAAACACCACTTTCTTCAACCAGTGCTATATATAGAGTTGCCGCTGTCCAATTACAAACCTCCGGTAGCCTTCAAACTGGGTTCTCTCTCCCCCTACAAAGTCTTCCCCACGACCACTTTCTTCCAACCAAGAACTTTTCCGTCGCATGCTGCTTCTTCCACCAAGAAAATTCCCCAGCCAAATATTATTATAATTCTTGATCTGCAAAGTTTGCTCGAGGCTGTTTCTTCCTTTCCAAGGTTCGATAAAGGAAGGAAAAACGAAGGTTGCAAGAACAAGAGCCAGGGTCTTGATATATATAGCTGCAAAAGAAACTACAGAGAGAATCTAGAAGAAGATGGAACACTCGGAGAGTAGCACCAGCAGCAACACTCAGAGAGAAAGTTTCCGTGTCGGAAGTTATGTACTGGGCCAGACTCTGGGCAAAGGAAACTTCTCCATCGTGAAGCTTGCACGTTGCCTTAAAACCGGAAACAATGTGGCCATCAAAATTTTCGATAAGCATGCGGTTCTCGCCAAGCAACCCCAGAACGAGTTGCTGAAGGTTCTTTTCCTTTCATTCATCATCACCGTGTTACAGTCTTCTAAGCATGAATTATGCCATGCATTCTTACCTGATATTTCATGCTGCTCAACGCTTTGCAGATGGAGCTAAACTTATTGAAAATGAAAATGATTAGACACCCTAATGTGGTGCATGTGCGTGAGGTTAGATGGAACAAACCGTCTGTTGCATAACTTAATTATTTCCTCATCTTCGAATTTCCCATTGCAAGTAACTTATATAGATGCATGCGTTTATATATCTTGGTGTAGGAGATACATTCAAAAACACAGTTCTTTATTGTAACGGAGCATGTAACTGGTGGGGAACTGTTTGATAAAATTGTAAGACTCTTTTTTCCTTTTGCCTTCTCATTTGGGATCAGAATCCTCTATAAAGATTGTAACTTTTCTGGTGCTTTCCTGAACCAGACAAACACCGGGAGAATGGAAGAACCCGAAGCAAGAAAATATTTTCAGCAGCTTATACATGCTGTGGATTACTGTCACGGTAAAGGTGTTTCCCATAAAAACTTAAAGGTCAGTGAGGTGTTATGACAATAATATGTTGTTCCTTTCCTTTGTTTCCTCATTTTTGTTTTTCTAAGAAAATGGTTAATGTTAATTTACTGCATGTCTTTTTTATTAATTCTCTATATTGCAGCCGGAGAATCTGTTGGTGGATGCTGATGGAGTACTTAAAATAATAGATTTTGGCGTAAATATGCTGTCCCAACAAGTTGGAGTGAGTCAGTTCTTGGTGAATAAATTTTCAAAACATTCATGTTGACTTGCTAATTGATTTTATCGTATTGTTATTTTTAGTCAGATGGATTGCTTCACACAGCACGTGGTCTGCCACATTATATCGCCCCAGAGGTGTATTAGCTTTTGTATCTGAAACTTCAAATTCAATCTCTTTCTCTCACTCTCATATTTTGTAATAATATCACTATATAATCTCTCTTATCATACTTATATATAGGAGAGAATGAACATCGGCTATGAGGATGCAAAGTCTGACATCTGGTCATGTGGTGTTATTCTTTTTTTTCTATTGGCTGGATATTTACCCTTCAAATGTAACGACACTACCATTTTATGCCTAGAGGTGACTCTCACTTAATGTTTGTGATGCTATTCTTGTACTTTTGCTTAGCATAACTCATTCATGTTTGAGGTTCAAATCTGAACAATTATATCATGAGCACGGTGCTTTGTGTAACCAATGGGAATCCAAAGTGAGTCTAAATCCCACTTGAGTAAAATTGAAAAACTTGAATACAATATAAAGATAACCTATAAAAATTTTGAGTTGATGATGTCAATTCTTTGCATGTGGGTGTTGGACTTATATTTTATTGATATTATATATTTGTGTATATTCATGTATATTTCTTTCCTTGTAATTAATTGAACTCTGCCCGCTTTTAAATTTCAGATGTTTAAGGCTGATTTCACATTTCCTTCATTTTTTTCTCCAAGTGTAAAGAGACTAATTGAGAGAATCCTTGATCCCAATCCAGCTAGAGTAAGTACTTTGACGTGTTCCATTCATGGTTAATTTGATTGAGCCATGATATGAAAATATGGTGTTTAGCATATATTTTCGGTTTCCCATTATCTCATGAAATTAAAATGTTATTGTACCACCTCTTCTGATGCCATGGAACAGCGGATTGCAATTAAAGATATCTTGGAGGATGAATGGTTCAAGAACGAGCCTCAATCCCAACAATTAAGTGCAAGTTTTCATGAAGTAAGTTTTCAGTGTCTGTAGTATCTCTAAAACGTTTTAATTAATTAGCTTTAATATTGATTAAATATCACTCAGTATAACTTATGTTTCTAACTTCATGTTAATATTTCGTGAACAGGATTCACAGGGTCCCGGAGAACCGGATTCACAGAACCCTGTAGAACCTGTTCCCAAGAATGCATTTCAGATAATGCGTGCCTATCTTGGCTTCAATCTTTTAGGAAATCTGCTTAACAAGGTATGCAGAAACCTTCAATTTAGTTAGATATCCAATTTTCCTGTTGATATTCCTTGTCAATAGATTAAGAAACATTATATACTTAAGATATTTAGTTTAATCAATCCCTGTTTAATAATAATTCATCAGATTTTCTTTCAAGTCATTCACATGAAAAAGAAAAAGAACTCTTATTCAAGCTTTTGTTGAGTTTTGACTATATTATGGTAAGATTCTGTTTATTAGTGTTACTAATTAAGAACTAAGAATGCACAAAACTTGTCACTAATTTGATAATTCTGAATTTTTACTTGGTCCACTTTCTAAGAAAAATTGATTTGTTTGCTACCTAGGTACTTGGTAAAAGGGAAACAAGTTTCGTATCCAAATGCTCCCCAGATGAGATAATTTCAGGGATTGAACGAACTATAGCTTCTCTGGGTTTTAATGTTAAGGAGAGAAAGTACAAGGTAAGAAAATTTTCTTTAACCCGTACATTTCAATTTCTAAATAATTGACAAAACCAGATTGTAACGTTAATAACTTGCTATCTAATTTCTACTTCTTATAATATTTCTTATTATACATTTCAGTTGAAGATTAAATTGGAAAAGGATGAACATAAAGGTCATCTATCAATAGTTACTAAGGTACATGTTTTTTCAGTTCAAGATTTAAATTTATTACTTTTTCAAGTTCTTTTCTAAGTTCTGTTTTTCAGATCTTTAAGGTGAATCCTTCCCTTTTCAAGGTTGAGGTTCGAAAGAATGGAAAAAATACCCCTGATTTTGAAGAGGTAATTTCTATAAATCTCGATTTTCAAGGATACTTTTTTTTCCCATTCCATTGTATTTTTCTTACAATAAAAAAATTTATTTTTTGTGTTCACAGTTCTACAGGGATCTATGTGCTGGGCTGCGTGATATCATTTGGGAAGAGAAATCTGCCAACTCAAAAAGAGATGGTATTATTACGTAGTTTTGTACACATTTAAGTGCACATAATAAATTGAATTGAACATACACATGCTTATACATTTCTGATCACATTACTCTGATGTTTACCTGCAGGTGCAAGTACATCAACTGCAAAATAATACATTTCTCACATAATTTGATTCAAGTATATAAACTAGCTAGCTTGGTTACCTTCTTTGGGACATTTTTTCTTTTTATAGTTCAGTTTAAGGATTCTTTCTTTTTTGATTTAGCTTTCTCCCGCACTTTCTATTTTTCGGTCGATGTATAAGAGAACCGTAACCAACAAATCATGTTGAAATGTTAAGTAATATTTTTTTTCTTTTTACTTTTTCTTGAATCGTGATTTTGATTACAAGTTTTAATCATAATAAGCAAATCACGGTATATATATATATATATATATATATATATATATATATATATAATACATACAAAACACCTTCGTGAAAACTATCTTAGGTAATGTATGAAAAAAACTCAGATATTTTCTTAGTGATAAAAACATTCCATCAATTCACTACTAAAACAACACTAAATAATTATAAACATCTCATTAAATTTCTTGCACCTTTTTACTTTATCAGCATGCGAGATTTATTTTTAATATATTATTAATTATTCAAATGTATAAATATAAAATTGTCATAGTTTATAAAAAAATTTCGTTATAGTTTCGAAACTGTTTCAATGAAACCCAAACATATATTAATGTTGTCGACCAATGATGCATCGCTAGAAGACATAAAAATGTCTATAAAGGGATAATTATAAAAATGTCCACCATAGTTGCATGCAAAGACTCTGAAAAACCTTATATTACTTGCAAAAGGTTGCTCCTGCATACTAAAACGAGCCTTAGTTTTTAAAGAAGACTCGGGTGAGAGATAGAACAACTTGTACTTTTTATACAATGCAGTTGACGAAACAAGGTTCGACAAGATAGCAAATGTGACGTCTTCAAAAGAGACGTGAGAGATTATGAGAGTGGCATACAGAGGAGACAAATGTGTTAGACAAGTCCGACTACAAGGTTTTAAAGGCGAGTTCAAAAATGTCTGAAGATGGAGAACAAAGATATGGTAACCAAGTATATAGCTCGGATAGTAAAGGTGACAGATCTATTCGGTAGGAATGAAGAGCAAATGAGCATTGTTTGTGTCATAGAAGAGTCAAAAGACTTGTCAATTCCCTCGGTGAAAGAACTACAAGCACAAGTTGAATTGAATGTAACTCGGAATACTTAGAGTCGAGGTCTTAGAGACAAAGGACAAGGAGACTGAGGACAAGGTGGACGTGGCCAAGGTAATTTTGAGAATGACAATGAAGAGTAAACTGGTCAATAGAATTGGCATGACTGAGGACAAGAGAAAGGTCGAGGAGATAAGTCAGAAGTGAAGTGTTTTAAATGTGGCAAGCACGATCACTATGCAAACGAGTGTAGATAAAGGAAGTGCTACAACTATGGTAAGTTTGGCCACATTTCTAAATTTTGTGAAGTTGAGAAGAAAAGTGAGAGAAATCTTCTTACGAAAGAAGAAGATGAAGAAGAGATGGGGATTCTGTTGATGTCAAAGATCTCAGAGTCGAAGGTGGAGAACTCGAATGTTTGACCATGCTTGAAATCAAAGGCTAAGGAGATTTCTACCAATTCAGTATGATATTTAAATATTGGAGCAAGTAATAGTATGTGTGGAAATGGGAACATTTTTTATAAACTCACCAAGGTGGAGGTTGGATTTGTGTCTTTCGGAGATGACTCCAAGGTGGTCGCGAAGGGGCATGGAATAATCTGGCATATGTAGAAGGATGAACAAGTTGGAGAGATTATGAATGTTTACTATGTTCCCGAACCGAGGAACAATATTTTAAGCATGAGTCAGATAATTGAAAAAGATAGTTCAATTTTTATGAAGGACCAGGTATTGTGGATAAACATAGTCGTCTAGTAGTCCAGGTAAAAGCGAAGAAAAATCGGTTGTATGAACTGGAGCTAAAGATCTTGCAAAAACAGTGCTTGAAGCAAGATATGACTAGCAAAAGCTCGGATAATTCCATTGATGAGGTACATGTAGCACGTTTGTTAACAGGTGTAGAAGATGTAAAATTTGAAGAAGTTGTGCTTGATGAAAGATTGAGGAAAGCCATAAATGAGGAGATACAATGTCTAGGAAATCTAAATTGGATACTTCAAGAGCAAGTTCTTAGCAAGGAGAACCACCATTATAGTGAAGTAGCCACTAACAAATCGAATTTCAGAAACAATAATGTTAAAGTTGCTATAGACCCCGTAGTGACAACAAAGTTATTGGAAAGACAACCAGAACAAAAAACAAATAAGCAAATGTTAAAGACAAATTGGTCAAGTTCAAAAAGAGGATTACCACAATGAAAATAAAGTTGGCAAAGGTAATTGGAAAGTCGATCAAAGCAAAGAAGAAGTTAGTTGTAAAGAAAATGAAGAATCCAAATCTGGTTGAAAAAAGCAAGCTTGATGTGGGATGATGCACATGAAAAACCGAATAAAGAATGAAAAATTTAAGTTTACGAGAAAGTTTTGTTGGGATAAAGTTACATTTTAGAGGTTTATTAATAATTTTGTTTAAATGTTATTTTATTAGTTTGAGTCTACTAATATTTAGTTTGATTTTGATAAAGATAAAATAGGGACCAATGGTTTTGATTTTTCATTAATTAGGTATAATATTATTTTAATTTATTTTGTAGATATAAGATAGAGATAAATTAAATATATTTTATTTTGAGTCTGTTGACATTTTATTTTAAGTTTTTATTATTTGTATTTGGTTCAAAAATGTATTTACGTCTATTTAAAGGTTGTCAAAAATAACATAGTGAATTAAAGAGTCCAATTATTTGTGTGGTGATTTTTTTTAAGGAAAATGCTTCTTTAATAACAAATTTTGGCCAACTTTTTTACAACACCACATGACGTTGTTTCATTGGTTGGTGTTTTAAAGTTTTGTAAAAAGGTGAAATTTGTCTAGAAGCGCATTTTTGGAAGGAATTTGGACTGAAAGTCCTTTCGGCGGTTGGTATCACCTTCTTTTCAGATTCAGTCTTTTTCGTTCCTTGGACTTTTACAAACTCTCTCTCCGCCATTGACGCTTCTGTCTCTCTCCACCGTTTTGGTCTTCTTCGTTCCTTGCATTTGTTAACTCTCTGTCCACCATTGAACCGCTGTGTCTCTCCCCCCTTTGAGTTGGAGTTCGACTCTTCTTACTTCCTTTCTTGGGTCATTTGGTGACTGTCGACGATTTCGTCTCTCTTTGTACCCATTTTCCCCTTTTTTTATGGTGTGACCATGGGTTCGTTGGCAGTATATCCCCCGTTCTGGCTTTTTGTTGATTTTGGCGTGCATCGTCATGGGCAGCATTTTCGTGGTTGTGTAAGTCTTTGGAATTTGTCTGCCGTTGTCGTTGGCGGTATTTCTCCCAAGGTTTGGGCTTTTTTGCACACACCATCAAGGTTAGTATCACCATTACACTCAATAGTTGATTCCTTTCGTTGTTTAGGGTTTACGCATGAAAGTTTATATATTGAAATGTTTGTATAATAAAGAGGATTGAGTAAAGAGGATTCAATACTGTATTGTTAATATTTTGTGTTGTTGAAATTTTCATTTATCTTTTTCGGTTTTGCCCTTATGTATGTGTTATTGTAGGTGATTTTTTGATTGAAGTGTTTACTTGAGTTGAAACAGAAATGGAAGCATGTAATAACAAGGTAAGTAGAGTTTGATAATTTTTGTTTTTTGTTTGTGTTTTGGAACACTTATTGTTATGTTTGAAATTTGAATTGTTTTATAAATATTTTGTAGTGACGCTTGCGAGCATGGATGAATACATCCTACATTGTCGATATGAATGTGTTACTACTAGTGACTTGTGAAACGCGCATATATAAGACTCCATTCAGGTGGTGCTTGGACATTGTTACCCCGTTAGAGGTCAATTTAAAATTGTTGAAGGAGATGGTTTGTCGATGGGTTAAGCACCATCAATCTTTTAGAGTTAGTCAACATCTGGTGTCATTCACCGTGGTCGATGTATTGATGACTTTAAGTTTAGGAGTAGGGGGTTTTGATGTGCCCTACGATGAATCAGTAGTTGGTAAAGTAGGTGAATTGTTTAATCATCAAGTCAACCTTTTTTAGCCTACTTCCACGGTTTTTCTATCTCAATCAGACACTCCTTCCTCACTTTTGGTTGTTCCTCATGTTGATCTCCACCATTCTTCTCCTTGCACCAATGACACCTATAGTTTCTCAACTTCTGATGCTTCAAAGTTCAACCAATGTCCCTACTAACACATTCGAAACCTATCCTAACATTCCTTTAGAGCCCCTTTCAACCTTTGTTGATTTCCCATATACTTTAACCATCATCCCTACCACGGTTCCTTCTACAAATGTTCATCCTATGAAGACCCGAGAAAAATCTGGAATTTTACCCAACCAAAACTCTAGACTGCTACGCTTGTTGATGATTATATCCCCACCTTAGTTAAAGCTGCTCTGTCTGATTCCAATTGGCATGGTGCAATGCAGTCTGATTATGATGAACTTCTCCGCTACAAAACTTGGAGCCTTGTCTCTCCTCCACATCATCATGCAGGTGGATCTTCAAAAACAAGTTCAACCTTGATGCTAGCCTCCAGTATCGCAAAGCAAGAATTATGGCACACATTTATCATCAACTTGAAGGCATCGACTTCACTAGCACATTTAGTTCTATAGTCAAACCAACTACAATTAGAGTTGTTTTTATCTAGTCTTGTTTCTCTAAAATGGCCAGTCCATCAATTGGACTTAAACAACACCTTTTTACACGGTGATCTCAACGATCGTGTACATGGATCAATCTCTAGGATTTATCACAACTCTAAATCTGGTTTGCAAACTTCATAAAGTCCTCTATGGCCTTAAGCAGGCACCCCGACCTTGTATTACAAGCTCATTTCTACCTTAATACTGATGGGTTTTCTTTCATCTACTAGTGATTCCTCTATTTTTGTTAAAATTCATAATGACTCTATCTTACTAATTCTCATCTATGTGGATGATATTCTTGTCATAGGTAATCATGCTGATGCCATCACTTCTCTTTAAATATTCATCAACATTTTGCTCTCAAAGACCTTGGACGACTTCATTATTTTTTGGGTGCAGAAGCTCACTAGACCACCAATAGTAATTTATATCTCACAGAAAAAATACATTCGTCAAATTCTCGCCAAAGCCAACATGTTAGACGCTAATCCACAACCTTCACCCATGGTTTCTTCTTTAAAGCTCACTATTGATGCTTCCATTGCTTATTCTAATCCAACTTTGTATAGAAATATCATGGGCGCTTTCAATGGTTTCACTGTCGAACCATCTTCTGGTAATGGTCTACCAATGCCTTCAATGTCTCCTCTTTCCCGTGTCTAAGGTTCAAGAGTTCAAAGATGGTCAAGTCTTGGGAACGGTTGTTGGCGAACTAATGACCGAACATAGCCTTCAAGCCCTCAAAGTTTTCAATAGAGTTTGGAGGTAGGGAGTTGAATCACTCCAAAGCCTTCACCTCTAGTGACAAAGAAAATGCCCGACACCATATCGCTTAGTTTCCTATTCGGAATGCCATTCAGGTAGTAAACGCCTTAATGTGGTCATCAGGGTCGGTCGACCCGTTGTAAATACTGAGTTGTGGGGGGGGGGAGGGGAAGAAGTGCTATGAAATATGAACGTCCATGATGGCTTGAACGAAAGATAAGTGGTCGGAGGTATCTTTGACCTTCACCACCAGTTATTTGCTCAGTACAACGCTCTTAGCCTGGTCGGCCTAAGCCTTGCTCTTTTCGACCTCCGACTCGATCGGTTTCCATGTAGTATCTGGCATGCTGCTATGCTAAGTTGTGCCCTCCTGAGCGGCCTTACCGCGCTCTTCTTCCACCTTCTCTCCGGCTCTCAACCCTCTCTCTTGGGCTATGTGAGCCGAGCACTCGGCTCTGATGGTCGCCATCTCCGCTTCGTGTCGCTGCTGCATTTCCACCATTTTCTACTGTAGAATCCTTATAATCTGGGTGGGGTCCTCACTGCTCATGTTTATTGTGGTCACCATTGGGTTTAAGTTACTCAGCCCAGGGTGGGCGCCAAAATGTTCCGGTATAGGGTCGAGTTACCTGAGTCCTACACAATTTCCTCCGTAGGTCCGTTCGGTCTACGCTCTCTTCGCCAGTCAAGTCTTCGTTCAATCTCCTGTATACCGACCGATGGTGTACCTGCTAAAGGTGCTCCGATGCCAAAGTTAGTGATAGTCCGATTGGTAAGTTAAGTACTGTAATAAATGCGTAATTAATGAATCTGCCTACCTCTTACCTTTGGCCTGTATTTATTGTTTTAGTTGTGGGTTTTGGATTATCAAAGCCTTAATTACGGCCCAACCAGAGCTCAATCATCCATAATTAGTGTTTTACCTTAATCATGTTTGGAAACCTACCTGTCACGGTCGTCCGACCTTATTGTTGCCTAACAACCGATCGTCGACCCCATCCGAGAGTCCCCAGTACAAACCATATTAATAACTTTTTTTAAACAACTTTTTGACAATAGACTATGTGTCATTATTTTATTAGTCTGTATATTTGAAATGTATATTTGAAATAGACCAATTACAAGCTACCACATAAGCGGTTATAAAAAAATTCTCAAAAAATTGTTGTTAAAAAAACATTTTTCTTTTCATTTTTATCTAACGTGTCCAAATCTTTCAAAGTGACTATGGTGTCCACTTCTTCTCTAATATGTTTAGAAATACATACAATTGCACCTTGAATGAAAGAGAATGCTCTACTTTTGAACCTTTCCTTGTCACACAGCATTACTAATACCAACCTAATCTCACATTTAAGATGGTCTAATTATGTGTGATGCTACTTAGAGATTAGCATATCACCATTTATCGCAAATGATTACTTATGTTCCAATTTTCTTTTTTAAATTATCACTGAGTTATATGCTAAATTTAGTAGATTTATGGAATACATTATAACAATTTATAAATTCACCTAAAGTAAGCTCTTTCATTGACACTAACCCCATCCATTTCAACAAAGAAATAATTTATGTTAGAGGACTTACCTCAAGAAGCCATCATTGTGGAAGTCAAAATGGTTTCAACCTTACAAATATTATAACCCAAAAGCAACATCATCCAACATAATTGGTTTTCCAATTAACTATTTTATATCATTTCCAAAGTCCTAAAATATGAATACGGTAAATAAGTCATTGAGATTAGATACTAAGGTCTGGTTAGACCAAAAGTTGTGTACAATTAAGCAAAACTCAAAATTGACTCTGATATGACACAAATAATTAACTGTTGT